TTTTCTCCCCAGCCAAGCTGGTGGCTCCAAAACGGGCTCCATGACCTTTATTGTTTATGTTTATTTATTTATTTTTAATATATGTTTATTGATCTCAGAGAGGGAGAGGGAGAGAGAGATAGAAACATCAATGATGAGAGAGAACCATTGGTCAGCTGCCTCTTGCACGCCCTCCACTGGGGATCAAGCCCGCAATCCAGGCATGTGCCATTGACCGGAACCGAATCTGGGACCCTTTAGTGCACAGGCCAAGGCTATCCACTAAGCCAAACCAGCTTGGGCTCTAAAATCTTTTATTTTTGGCTTGAAATATTAATGTTTATTGCATGGAAAAAAATTATTTTTTTAAAGAAAGGGCAAAGGACCTAAATAGACACTTTTCAAAAGAGGACATACAGAAGGCCAAGAGACATATAGAAACATGCTCAAAGTCACTAATCATCTGAGAGATCCAAATCAGAACAGCAATTTGGTACCATCTCACACCTGTCAGAATGGCTATCATCAACAAATCAACAAACAACAGTGCTGGTGAGGATGAGGAGAAAAAGGAACCTTCTTGTACTGCTGGTGGGAATGCGGACTGGTGCAGCCACTGTGGAAAATAATATGGAATTTTCTAAAAAAAAAATTTAAAAATGGAACTTCCATTTGACCCAGTCATACCACTTCTAGGAATATATCCCAAGAAAACAGAAACACCAATCAGAAAGAATATATGCACCCCTATGTTCATAGCAGCACAATTTACAATAGCCAAGATTTGGAAACAGCCTAAATGCCCATCAACAGATGAGTGGATTAGAAAACTATGACACATCTACACAATGGAATACTATGCTGACTGTGGTACATCTACAAAATGGAATACTACGCTGTAGTACAAAAGAAGGAAGTCTTACATTTGCAACAGCATGGATGGAACTGGATAGCATTATGCTAAATGAAATAAGCCAGACAGAATGATAAGTATCACATGGCCTCACTCATTTGTGGAATACAATGAACAACATAAACTGATGAACAAAAATAGAACCAGAGACATAGAAACATCGAACAGACTGTCCAACACAAGAGGGAAGGCGCGGGGTGAGGGAGTAAGAGATCATCAAAGGACTTGTATGCAAGCATGAGCATAACCAATGGACTCAGACAGGAGGGGATGAGGGCATGAGCTGGGGGGTGGGAGCAGCCTGGAGAGGTCAATGGGGGAAAAAGGAGACTCGTGTAATACTTTAAAAAATAAGAATTTAAATTAAAAAAAAAATTTTTTTTAAAAAACCATAATGCGGTAATTCAAAGGAGATAATGCAGGCCAAACAGGCCAACCTATCCAGTCAGCATCTCCATCTTTGTGGGGGCAGCGAGTGGTTTTAATAACAAATTCTTTTAAAATGTATTTTTAGTGATTTCAGAGAAAAAAGGGTTAGGGAAGGAGATAGAAACATCAATGATGAGACAGAATCATTGATCAACTGTCTCTTGCATACCCCATACTTGGGATCAAGCCCACAACCAGGGCATGTGCCCTGACCAGTAATCAAACTGTGACTTTCTGGTTCTTAGGTCTATGCTCAAACACTGAGCCACACTGGTCGGGAAATAACAAAATTAACAGCCAAAACAAAACACAATGAACCCCTTTGCCAAAATAAAGAAGATGATCTCTTTTGATATTTCCTAGTATCCAGAGTTGAACTAATCATTATGCATGCCCGATGATAGGTTTGTGAGTTTGATGTTTTTTACAAGTATTTTAAGCCCATAATGTCACACCTCACATAGTTTTTCAGTTCTATTTTTCAATTCCAGCTTACATTAAATACTATTTTGTATTAGTTTCAGGTGTACCGCACAGTAGTTAGACAATCATATACTTTACAAATTGCACCTGTCATTTTTAAAACAACATTATATTCCAATGATTTTCTATCAGAGCTTTTCAACAGTGAGATAGTCTAGTATTTTAATTTCCTTTTCTTAATTATTTCTCCTTAAGTTATAGTTCCCTAAAGTGAAGTTATCAGTCAAAATCAGTAAGTTTGGGGAACTGATACTAAGAACTACTTTGTGATCAATACAAATCCCTTAACTCTCACTTGATTTGATTACCAGTTAGGGCACAAGCCCTGGTTGCGAGCTCGATCGCCAGTGTGGATTCTGCAGGAGGCAGCTGATTGATGATTCTCTTTGATCATTGATGTTTCTATCTCTCTCTCCTGCTCCCTCCCTTTCTGTGATATATCTCCACATATATTTTTTATTTTTAAATCGCTTACTCGAATGGTGTCATTTTGTCTATATGATGTTCATTTGTTCTAACAGAAGCTGCTGGGATGAGAACCAAAAACACCCTTTGAGATTTATATTGAACAGTTTCCATGTGCAACAATGATAACGTTATGCACACAAAGGGACATAAGAGTGTGGATGATGGAAGAGAAAAAATCTTACCAATTGTCGAAGAGTTTTAAAGTGATTACTGGCAACATGGTCAAGGTTCCAGAGGACAATTCTGTCTACCACTGTCTACATAGTCCCTGGTCATGGTTTGCCCAGTATGCTTCAAGCCCTATATCCTGCTTTCTAAAATTTCACTCAAAATGGACAAGAAAAACATGAGAGGTGACCAGATAGCATCACATCCTTCCCAATTCTGCATACTTGTCACAAACATACACACACATACACACACACTCACTCACTCACTCACTCACTCACATCATCTGCACCCTCACTTTCACCTCCTAGAGAAGCAGTCCTGCCTGGGTCAAGGGCAGGCTCTGGAGCCAGCTGCCTGGCTTTGAATTCTCACTATGGCACTTCCATCTCCTGGGCAGATTATTGAACGTCTCTGTCCCCCAGTTTCCTAATGTCTAAGAATGGGTTAATATTGGTACCTCCACCTCATAAGGTTCTTGGGAGGAAGAAACCAGAATATTCTCAGAGAATGAGAATAAATGACGGTGAGCACTGTGCTGGCAAAACATAACATTAACGTCTTCATGTGTAAAATTAAAGGGAACCGTGCCTAAGCATACTGGACATGGAATTCGTCCCTCAGAAAAAAGGAGACACTAGATTGAGAAAACCCACCAACAAAGAGAAAGAACTGCAAAGTCAGACATAAACTTATTCTCCCACCGCCCAAGCCCCACTTCAGTTGGCTATAATTAACAAATGAAAACAGTGCCTGGTATAAACTCAGAAAATGTTTGCTCAATGAATAAACAGAACCTGGTAAGACTTGCTACCAAGATGCTCAACACAAGGACATGGATTCAATAACTGCTTTTGGCCATTTCACAAAATTCTGCGAAGAGGCACGAGACAGAAACAGCCACCCCGATCTGCCTGCTTCTTAGTCTAAAGTTCACTACTCTGGGGAAAGCTTTCAAGGGCTTCACGCAGGAGCAGTTGTAAAGCGACCAAGGACCTTTCTTTGGAAACCATCAAGGAGTTGCAGAATTACCGGGGTGGGCTCCAGTTCCGGAGGCTTGATGCCAAGAACCGTGATCACAGCTTTTGCAGTCGTGCGTAAGCCGTCACCTTGAAGGTCAGCAGCTTCAACCACCAGGGTGTACTTGGGAAACTTCTGCAGAGACCGAACAACACCCAAGTTAGGAACCACAGCCACATCAGCCCAGCCCATAGCATGGACACAGAATATTTTATCACCTGCTTAAATGCCGGCCTAGCAGCCTGTCCCCTAGGCACAAAACCTCTGCACACATGTTTGGATGCAAAGCTCAGACCATGACCATGTAAGTGACAACTGGCCTCAGCAGAGTTTTGCGTTGTCCATGGATTTAGCTAATGTGCACTCGCCCACAACACCCTCTGGATCTCTTCCCCCCTAACCTCACTGTCCAGCCCGGTAGTGAGCACGCTGATGACTCCTGTGTCCCTGTTGATGGCGAACATTTGCGAATGAGGCTGTTTAGGCTCTTGGCTGATGATCCTGTAAGCGATGGCAGCGTTGTAGGTGTTCACTTCGTCGTCCGCGTCTGTGGCTGTCACCTGCATCACGGAGGTTCCTGGAAGCATCCAAGGAGAGGAAGACAGTCACGCTGCACTTCAGGGTCTGGTCAGTACTGCTCAACTCAACACTGTCCAGAGCGTTAAAGGCTGGGTCCCAGGGACACACCATGTCATGGCTCTTCTGACTGCTAATTGCCAAATGTCTTACCAAAGTACTAGAGGAGGAAGGAAGACTTCCATCAGATGAGCAGTGTTCCAAGACATTTTGGGTGAGGGTGGATATGAGGGGGAGATGGGAAATAGGGATACGGATAAACTAAAACATTTTGCATGACTCTTATACTGAGTGAATAGCCTGAAAAATAGAAGGGCCCAAGATTTCCACAATTGGCTTCTTGGCCACAGCTTCACATGAGGGAATGGGTCCTTTGAGTTCATTGCCTTCAAGGTGGGAGAAAATATTTATAACCCAAGTGGCTGACAGGACTAGTTCCTAGGACACCTAAATAACTGGGAGAGTTTATAGGTAAAAGCCAAATAGCCCAAAGGAATACAAGGGCAAAAGACTTGAATAGAATAAACAAGTTGTCAAGAAGAAACTCAAGCCTTTCCGGTGTGGCTCCATGGTTGTGCATCAACCCATAAGCCAAGAAGTTGCTGTTTCGATTCCTGGTCAGGGTACCTGATGGGGGCTAGAGCCGGTCCCCAGTGGGGTTGCACAAGAGACAGCCAATCGATGATGTTTCTCTCTCATCAAAGTTTCTAATTCTCGATCCCTCTCCCTTTCTCTCTCTCTCAAAAAAATCTATAAAAGCATTAAAAAAAGAAAAAGAAGAATCTTAAATGGTCAACAAACATGTAAGAATCTTAGCTGGTTAATAATTAGAGAAATGCAATTTAAATTGCACTGAGATATCATTACACATTTACTAAAGCTAAAAAAATCTAATAATTCCAGGATATACATTGTACATGGAAGTTCAAATTGGCACAGCCACCTTGGAAAACGGTATCACCATGTAGAAAAGCAAGCAAAACTAAAAAAATTTTATCTTGCCGAAACTGCTTTGGCTCAGTGGATGGAGCGTCGGCCTGCGGACTGAAGGGTCCTGGGTTCGAGTCCGGTCAGGGGCATGTACCTTGGTTGCGGGCATATCCCCAGTGGGAGATGTGCAGGAGGCAGCTGATCGATGTTTCTAACTCTCCGTCTCTCTCCCTTCCTCTCTGTAAAAAATCAATAAAATATCTTTAAAAAAATTTTTATCTAGGGTCAAATACACACAGGGAGGAGGACAAATTAAAAAAAAAGAGGGGGTGGGGAGAGAATTATTACAATGGTCAGGGCAGTGTCTACCGCTATGGGAAAGAGAAAAAATGTCATCAGGAAAATTGTGTGAGGGGCTAAAACTACTAGGAAGGTCCTGCTTAGTGAGTGAATGTTGTTGTTAAACTGCTCCAACTACATACACGGTTTTTTGTTGTTGTTTTTTTCTTAAATATATTGTATTGATTTTTTACAGAGAGGAAGGGAGAGAGATAGTTAGAAACATCGATGAGAGAGAAACATCGATCAGCTGCCTCCTGCACATCTCCTACTGGGGATGTGCCTGCAACCAACGTACATGCCCTTGACCGGACTCAAACCTAGGACCTTCCAGTCCGCAGGCTGACGCTCTATCCACTGAGCTAAACTGGTTTCGGCTACATACACGTTTGGCTCCTCCTTTAGGTATATGCATGCAGGCGCGCACAGTAGTTTTCAAAAAAGTTCTGTCCACAAAAACAGCCTGACCACAAACCCCAGCCCCAACACACTGGAGTCCAGAGAACCTAAGCATCTTTCTGGATATCTGGCTCCTCCTTACCTGGGAGAGCACCTTCCACGACAGACCCCTCAAAGACCGCCTGGGTGAACTCAGGCCTGTTGTCATTCTGATCTGTCACTGTGATCACAATCTCCATCGGATCCTCAATTGCATTCCCGTTGGAAGACACAGCGTGAGACAAGAGCTGCAAGAGCCAAGGGAGGGTTACTTGGGCCCCAAGGAGAAAAGAAGTGGGAGAAGTGGCCCGACCACAGAGTGGGCTCCACATGGTGTCCCCTCCTTCCCACTCTCTGAGCCCCGAGTGCATGGACACCTGCAGCAGAGCCCTTTTCTCACACACGTGCCGCTGCTCCAATGAGGTCAGCACACTGGCTGAGAGCAGGACATGTGAAGACCTGAGGGTCGGAGAACACACCCACCAGGTCAGAGTCCCCACTCCCTAATGAGGGTTGGGGAGCCAGGCCCAGGAAATAAAGGGGGAAGCCTAACACTCTGACTTCTTCCAAGCAGGGTAAAATTAGCCCTGGACACTCCAGTCTAGTGTGTCCTCCTGATTTTTCTGCATTTGGCATCAATACATTACTTCCCAGTTGCCCTCAGCTCACTCTGCTCCTGGGCCCAGATGGTTTTTGCTCTCCAACATCATCACTGGCCTCTACTTTTAGCTCCAAGAGTAGGCTGATATCTGGGGTCTAAAGTTGTGCGTGATACATAAGGACTTTCCCTGCTTTATTCCTAACAACAAAAATAATTTAGCGACCCCCATATCCAGGTTCTTCCGTCATTTCTCTTTATCAATAGGTCTCAAAGTGACAAGTTAAGCCCCTCATACATCCAGAGTCTCGAATCTAGGGATCCTAATCGGTTGACCAAACACTTTGGGAAAGATGGGACCCCATCATTAATAAGCTTCTAAGAGATACTCACTGTGTACTTGGCAATTGCTTCTCTATCCAGAGGCTGCGTCACCTTGAGCCATCCTGTCTCCCTTTCAACAATAAACACATGGATGGGGGGTGCGTCAGCTCCTTGGCCAGTGATGCTGTAGAAAACCTGTGTCTCTTTGTCTTTATTAGACTTGATCTGGAGACAAAACAGACACAGAATTAGCAAGGGAGGGTCCTTACATTCGGTCTTTCTCCTTCCTCTCCTTGGTGCTTCTCTGCCAAATTCCTCCCAAGAAAATAGAGAACATCCTTTTCTACCTGGACCAGATTCTTAGGAAATGGCCCTTTGTCATTTTCTGTGCAGCTGATTGGAGGAATAACCCAGTCTCTTTTCTGTCTTCTGAGACCACGGTGGCAGACAGGAAATGTGAGCACTGCCGTCTGGGTTTCAGGGAGAGAGTCCTAAAAGGAAAAGAGATAAAAAAAACATAATGAGTGAATTAAAAGGCATCCAAATTGGAAAATAAGGAGTAAACTTATAATTAATCGCAGATGACATGATATTGTACATAGAACACCCTAAAGATCCCA